GCCAGGGCAGAATAGGAGATACCATAACCGTTTAGCACAGGTTTGGTCAAAGGGTCAGCTTCACTTGTCTTTTTGTCGAGTTTGTAACATGGTGCTACGAATGGTAAAACTCACTGAAGATGCCGACTACGATGCCGGTGAAACGTCTGGGAATGTACCGCGTCCACGGTCCGACTTTGAAAAAAATTATGCATACAATGGACTCAGGACAAGTTACTTTCCTATTGGTCTTCCTACCAATATGACCAAGTTGCGAGAACAAGGTCAAACAATTTCTATATTTACGGAAGGAGACCGCGACCACAAAAAAAGGCCACACTATCTTGGTCTTATACTTTTGGTACATCTAGTTTATTTTATCTCTTCTCATCAGTGAATTCGTCCTTGCATTGGCAGCCTGCTTGCCAGTGGACAGCCAACTCTGTCGGTTTGACGTCTCCAACAACTCTGGCCTCAGCGAACGTGCCCTTATCGCCTTGGCCAGTAGTCTAGCTCGACGGAGTCGGACGAACACCGTTAGCGGACAGATCACCATTGGATGCGCCCGGTATTTTTCTTGCCGCGATTGCGGTCTCAATGCCTCTGGTATAAACAATATTGCTGAGGCACTTGCATCCTTGGGGCCCGTTATTTCTTCTAACATGATGACGACCGGCTCCGCAGCAACCATTCCCAATAGTAGCAGTACCAGCATCCAAGGGACACAATCAAATCTTCCCCTGATGCATCTCGATCTATCAGGCAACTATCTTCGTGGTGACCCCCTTTTGGTAACTTAGAGATTGTGATAAGTCTCTTGATTAATTACTTGATTCTTCTTAGCATTAATGTAATATTCCCCACTATGTTCTGAATCGATCTATTGGTTCTATCTTTCATCTACCTATTTTTTTCGTAACTAGATTTGAGACTATCCGAACGAACCCTTGTTTTTCCTTTTTCCACCACATTTTGTTTTTGAGGCTTAACGATGACTACATCGTTTTTTTCTGTCAATATATGAGCATTAACGTAGCATTTACTACGATTTATATTATTAGAAGCTTTCCTGCTTCAGTGAAATTTAGTGTAAGAAACAGGACCTCTACAATTTGATGATTTCTAGTTTGCTTTCCATCAATGGAAAACTATTACCGTGAATTTTATATAGTATGCCTTTTGCTGATTGCATAAACATATTTTTTAATATTACGAAGTTATTTTAAGACGAAAAGATGTTAGATTGGCCTAAATTCTGTTATTTTAACCGTAAAAGACAATCCATATTCTCTTAACTGCGAAAGTACAACCCGCCCTGCTTATGCAGCTAGATCCCGGGTAATAAAGAGAAGAGCTTTGATTTCTATTTTTAGGGATATAAACTGAGGCATTAATCTATTTTAGTGATGAATGATTAGAATTGTGACGTTTTAAAAATAATTTATTAGTATAGGTAACAAAGATAGGATGCTACCGGAAACGCAATTAACCCAGGGCAGAAGGGGAGATACCATAATTGTTTAACATACGTTTGGTCAAAGGATCGGCTTCACTTGTCTCTTTGACAAGTTGCTGTATGGTGCTTAGGATGGCGATATTCACTGACGATGCCGACTACGATGCCGGCGAAACGTTCGGAAATGTACCACGTCCACGGTTTAACTTTGTAAATGATCATGCAGACAATGGACTCCGGACTAGATGCGTTCTTCTAAGTCTTGCTACCAATATGACCACGTTGCAAAAACAAGGTCAAACAACCACTATACAACGAAAGGAGACTGCGACCACACAAAAGGCCACACCATCCTGGTCTTCATATCTTCGAACAAAGAATGACTTTTGGCATTTAAAAAGTCAATTAATATTTCTGGACTTGTGAAACGCAAATCCACTGAGTGATGCGCGTTGCTTTAAATCGTGATTTTAGTGTGTACATTTTTACTTTCTTCTAAATTACTACATAAGCTTGAC